GAGCCGGGAGCAGCCACTGAGGGGGCAGCCTTAGCTGCCGATGGTTAAGAAGTTGCTCCTGTGTTTGTGAACTGCATGAAGCTGCCTTCTGCTGCGTCAGTCCCTGTCGCGCAGTGCGTGTGGTAGTACGAACCAGCACCTCAGTCACGTTTGCACTCTCAGCAGTCTTTCACTCACCAGAGGCTTCCAATAGTAAACCACACTTACTCAGTCCAGTGGTAACTATATACAGGAAGTTATTTACAGTATTTTTAGCTCTCCAACAAAGTGCTTCGCCAGACTCCATCCACCCTCAAGGGGGGAATATACAGTGGTACATTGCTACATATATACACATGACCAGCCAATCAGAACAGTGCTGACTCATTCTGACTGCCTCAGCTCTGCCCAGTCCAAACTGGCTGAATCTAGTTTATTACAGCTGTCAGCTGTCAAGTAGATCTTAGAGATCTAGGTGCTGAAACTTATACACCAACAGTCCCCATGATCTATCGAGTCAGTATTGCCAGCTCAGACTGGCAGCAGCTGTCCAGGGCCTCAGTCTTTTGCACTGCCCATTAAGATAGCAGGAATTGAACCTTGGACCTTCCACATGCAAAGCAGATGCTCCGCCACTGAGCTATGTCTAGACACACCTTTTCCCCCCCTCTGTGTGACTGATAATGTCCATTTCTGTCCTTTTCTATTGGAAATTGGAACTCCCAAACTGGTCCACCCTTCTGCAGGCCTTTTCCAGTCTCTAGTTTTGGACTGTTGGATCGTGCCAGTCAACTCAACTGCATGCTTATTGAGAAAAATAACATCCATTGGTTTATAGGGAGCACATTATATAAATAATGGGAGCCCGTTATATAAATAAATAAATAAAATATTAAGGATCAAGTCAAGTCAAGTTTATTAGTACGAATAAATATAAAAACAAACAAACCAGCCTTTGAACGAATACAGGAACAACACAATATATCATTGATACATTGATACACCAATGCAACGCTAATTTGTCATCAGATCACTATCTAAGGTACAAGCTTCCTCTTTTTAAGGGCCAGAAAGCAAAAATTTTGCCACAGCTAAAGATATCCTCTCTATCCGGTCTTCCAGCAAAAAAAGTTAAAATCCTCAATTCCGCAAATTTCAACTGAACATCCAAGGGTTTGAATTTGGACAACAATGGGAAAATTAACAGCTGTCTCTCCATAACATAAAAGTTACAGTGTGACAATATATGTGAGACCGACTCTATTTCAAGATTTGTACACGGGCAACATCTTTGGGAACTGGGCCAGCGCCGAAACCTTCCTTGTAACAAATTAGAGGGCGACGGCTGGGCTGTCTTCCGTTGTCATGCCAAGCTGGGACTTTTAATCCGTGACAAGCACCCAGTCAGGTGCTGAACAAGGTCCCATTCCCTCAGGCAGCAGATGCAAATCTCTGTCATCCCCAGCCTCGTTGCTTTGAGTTCCCGGCAGCATCAGAGCAGAACTGCAGAGAGTCAGGAAGATGGAGAGTAACAAACTAATGAGTCACGTTCTGCTTTGTTGCTTTATAGGTCTGAGGAGCTTGAGAAGATGTGACGTGCAGGGTCAGGCCCCACTGGGGCTCTTCACACCGGAGCAGCGAGGAATGCAGTTTCCCACTGTGCTTCCTTTCTCTTCTCGGCTTTTAGATTGCGGAGGGAATCGGAGGGAGCAGTGGAATTTCCTGGTATTTATTGCTTAGGACCTTATTGCGCGTATGCGTGTGTGTTTTTAAATGTAGGCGCTCTTTTTTTGCTTGCCCTTCAGCTGCCTACTTTTAATGAGCTAGTTAATGTAAATCCTGAATCCCCCTTTGGCAGGCGTGCCGGTGATTGCCTAGCAACCCCAAGTGTTGCCATGGGTACAAAGGAGAGGGAGGGAGGGAGGATTTCTTCTCTCTCCAAGTTGTTGATTTGTAATGTTTTAAACTCGTAAATATTAATTTTCTAATAAAGTCTTTTCTGGTGAACTCTTGGAGTGGTTCATAGTGACAAAGACAAGTAGCGTGGGTTTTGGTGTAGTGATTTAGTGCGCAGACTCTAATCTGGGAGAACTGGGTTTGATTCCCCACTCCTCCACTTGCAGCTGCTGGATGACTTTGGGCAAGCCGTAGTTCTGGCACAGCTGTTCTCAAGGACAGTTCTGGAAAGAGCTCTCTCAGGCCCGCCTACATCACAGTGTGTCCGTTGTGGGGAGGGGAAGGGAAAGGAGTTTGTAAGCCGCTCTGAGACTCCAAGTGAAGGGTGGGGGTATAAATCCAGTCTCTTCTCTTCTCCCTTCCACCTGCCTTTCATTTTTGCCCTACAAGGAGGAGGGCTATGTTTGGTGAAGGAGGTTCGTCAGTTGTGCTCTCCTCTGCCTTCTGGGCAGAAGTAATTCCCACACACACACACACTTCGTGATGGAGAGAGGTAAAGGGAAACTGTTAGCCAGGGGTCATTTTGTAGAAAAAGGGGTGCAGGAGCTCATTAGCGTAACTCATTAGCATAACTTATTTGCATATGCCACACCCCCGACATCACCGGAAGTGTGTCAGAAGGCAACACCCACCGCTCAGGCTCCACTGGACTGTTTTGGATTGCTAGCTATTGGGGGGGGGGAACGTGCAGATCTGTCCTCGCAGAGGAGGGAGAGCTTGTACCTGAACAAAACTGGGTCTTAAAGGTGCCACTGGACTGTTTTGGGCCGGGGGGCCGGGGGGAGCTCTGCAACTGACCTGGCTGCTTCTTGCTCTGACTGATGGCTGCTGGGAGCAGGGGGTGGGGCTTGTTGCATGTGCCCGCCCCCTGGGTTCTTTACTGCCGGAGCTCCGCTCCTGTGCGCTCCCGCAGGAAATGCTGTTAGCTAAGGATAAGTCCCAGTAGGGTTTGGGGGCTCTAGTGGCCGGCCTTGCCTCACAGTACAGTGCTGGTCTTCCCCTTCCATCCATACTTCAAGTGGAGCATCAAGGCTTTTCCTGTATTTAAATCTCCACAAGGGCCTCCCTGGATAGATCCTTCACCATACTTTAAAAAAACAAGCAAAAGAAGACCTCTACAAAACAGATGCAAGGGATCGTAGGAGAGGTGTGTCAGTGAAATCACTGTTCTTATTATTCTTCAGTGCATGCATACCCAACTTTTGAATGCATAACATCCAAAGCAGCTGCAAGAAAACAAGCTGTAAAAGCATTAGAAACAAAGTTAAAACTGAGAACAGGCTGTTCACTGATGTCAAAGCACAGTCAGGCTGATGGGGCACGAAGGGTCTTTGAGTGCCCTGGTCATAAACTAGTCAGAGCTTCCAAGGTCATGCTAGCAGCTTTAAATCTGGCTTGGAAACAGACATGTGATCTAGGAAGTGGGGCCAAAATTTGTGTGGCATGGTATCCGTGGCAGGCAACCTTGCCGCCACATTTTGGAAACCAATCCCACATAGAGCATGTGGGAAATTCATATTGCCAAGAAAACAAGCTGTAAAAGCATTAGAAACAAAGTTAAAACTGAGAACAGGCTGTTCGCTGATGTCAGAGCACAGTCAGGCTGATGGGGCACGAAGGGTCTTTGAGTGCCCTGGTCATAAACTAGTCAGAGCTTTCAAGGTCATGCTAGCAGCTTTAAATCTGGCTTGGAAACAGACATGTGATCTAGGAAGTGGGCCCAAAATTTGTGTGACATGGTATCCGTGGCAGGCAACCTTGCCACCGCCACATTTTGGAAACCAGTCCCATATAGAGCATGTGGAAAATTCATATTGTCTTGCCCTAAACAGCCACCTCCCCACTTATTCCCATTCCTTCTCTTGTGCCCTATAACATCATTGAAACCAAAGCTGTGGGTGCACGGTGCAACCGTGTGCACTTCTTCTCATTGGGGAGGTGTCTGTTTTTACGTGAAATCCCTTTGCCTTGTTGGTAGGGCACCTCAACCACTTTTCTCCCAAACCTGGCTCATTTTTTCCTGGCCCATCTCAGAGTGCTTCAAGGAATGGAGCACAAGAAAGGTGGGAGTGTCCTTGACTTTTTGGTGCCACAGCAGTAAACTCTCACCCTCTGCTTTATATGTGAACACATCTAAAAAATGTGTGCAGGTGCTCCATCTTGCCTAGTTTTGACCCCTTCAGCCTGAGATCTGTCCTGGATTGGGATATTAAAACAATGTTCTTCCTGTATTTTGGGTGTCCATTCACAGTAGGGCCTCTTTGCGTGTAACTGAGCAATAATGTTGGGAGTTAGATGTAGAGCCCCCCCCCCCCCCCGGCCCCAACCTCATATGACCATCTAAGCACTACTGGGCTGAAGACAGTTTGTTCAGTTTTATCTCCTGGCAATAACTGCAGGCTCCTTCAGCCCTTATCAGGGAAGAATGGCACAACTGAGTTGCTTAGCTTGTTTTTCTTCCTGCTAGATTATTTTGTTTGTTTATTTTACTATTGCAGAAGCAGTTTGTTCAAATCCACGTGGGCACATCCAAGGCTGCATTCCCAACTAGAGAAATGTTCAAGATGCTGGCAGCTTGTCCTGTGGCCAGGTTTTCAACATGCAGAAAAGGGTGGTTTAGATGCAAGGAAGAGAGCCTGGCTATGTGCTTTGGGGGGGGTGTTGAGCCAGGGTGCACAGGTCCAGAATTTGGCCCCAGAAAGGACGGGGAGAACAGCAAGAAAACTCGTGGAGGAATAGTGCAGTCTGAAAGCATTGGTCTTTGGCTGCTCTAATCATTGTAGAAGATGGGCAGAGAGCTCTTTTGCATGGAGCATGCAAGCTACAGAGCCACAGTACAGCTCACGGGAAATTTGTTGTGTGCATCGTTTTCCATGACGAGATGGCTGCGCCACCAGACGGCTGGTGCACGATGTAAACAAACATGCAAAACCTAGTGGTGAAAAGCTGAGAACTGAAAAATAATGGGGAAACATTTGCTCATTTTTCGCAGGGGAGTTGAAGAACAGAAGATATGCCAAACACACACAAACGTTCATCATTAAAGGAGAAGTTAATAACTTATCGGGGGGGAGGGGGGAGAATTGGGGTGACGGGAAGGCAGGGAGCTTGGGCCAAAGTTAGGATGGCTCAGGACCAATGTTCCCTCTATGCTGTGGAGTCGTGTGAGCAAAAATTCTACTTTGTGAGCTACTGGCACTAAAGTTGTGAGCAAACACTTTGGCTCCTGCATAAATTAGTTTGCTCTGGAGCCCTCCTTCCTGAGCCAAGACAAAAATGTGTGAGCCGGAGGCTAAAAAACTCTGAGCTAGCTCACACTAACTCAGCTTAGAGGGAACATTGCTCAGGACAGTAATGCCAAGTGCTGGAAAATGGGGATTTTGGGGCCAGAGAAAAGGACACAGCTTCATACAGGTTTGCTGTAGAGGAGGGGCCTGTGTGTATTTGGCGAAAGAGTTTTGGAGAATGGGAATGAAAGATTCAGTCTGAGTTGTCCATTACAGCACAAATTCCCCCCTCCCCACGAACAGAATCTTGTAGCACCTTAAAAAACAACAGATTAATTGTGGCTTAATCTCTTTGTGGATTACCTCCACCTTTGTAAAGCACATGAAGTATTATCCTGAATGGGCCAATGGTATATATGAGACGTGTAGACATATGTACAGAGAGGACAGATGGCTGAAAGTTGGGTCATACCAGGAAATGGAAGGAGTACGCTCTGTTGACATTTCTATGCCAGTCTCAAGCGAGATCGTAAGTGCAGTCATTGGTAACGAAGCCCTCTTCCTGGCAATGCTATGCTGATTCTACTCCTCTGAAGAGAACAGAAGGCGTTGATCCCAATTGAGTCTTAAAGTAATAGAATCACACTCGCTAATTAATTCTGGTTTAACAATTTCGTGTTGGCCTCTTTGGTGCTCTTCATTGAGGAATTATGACTTTCAGGTCGGGGGAAGGGGAATTTGGAAGGTTCTTGTGGTTTTTAAAGGCTGTCGGGTTGTTTTTTTAAACTATCCTTTAATCCTGGGTTTGCCTTGGCCTTGACAAGTCACCTGTACATATTGCACAGGGAAAAAAACTTTCAGGTGTTATCATGCCATCTATGTAGACCCAATGTTCCCTCTAAGCTGTGGAGTCCTGTGAGCAAAAATTCCACTTTTTGAGCTACTGGCATTAGAATTGTGAGCAGGTTATTTGGCTCCTGCATAAATTAGTTTGCTCTGGAGCCCACCTTCCTGAGCTAAGCCAAAAACGTGTGAGCCAGAGGCTAAAAAACTGTGAGCCAGCTCACACTAACTCAGCTTAGAGGGAACACTGGACTAGACTATCGAAAAGGGGGCCTAAAAAGGAATTTCATGTTATGTTTGAACAAACCCGCTAGACAGTAAAAACATTTGTGCTTGGTTCTGAGGAATATATAAATTGACACTGGAATGAATGAGGGCCCCTGAAGAACTGTGAAAGGTCAGGTGTGCAGTGGAGAGGGGACCTGACCTGACCCGTGCAGTGTGTCATTCCCTGCACCATGAAGACCGTTTCAGAGGACAGCTGAGTTGGCCTGCAGTAGGACAGTTAGACCTAAACAGCGTGATAAAAAGTAGAGACATCACCCTGCCAACAAAAGTCCGCATGGTCAAAGCAATGGTATTCCCAGTAGTACTGTATGGCTGCGAGAGTTGGACTATAAGGAAGGTCGAGCGCCGAAGAATAGATTCTTTTGAACTATGGTGCTGGAGAAGACTCTTGAGAGTCCCTTGGACTGCAAGAAGATCCAATCAGTCAATCCTAAAAGAAATCAACCTTGACTGTTCCCTGGAAGGTCAGATAATGAA